CTGTTCCAGCCATGATTAACAGACCTATATGTCAGACATAGTGGTAGCAAACATGACCTGCAGTTTTGTATGTTGAACATAGTAATCATACATGCTTAGACACATTGTAGGGAATCAATTGTTTTTTAATGATAAATATTCACACAGAGACAAAAAAGTCAAAATAATCACTCACTTCTCTAGCGCTCATCCTCATTCCTGTTTCTTTTCTTGGTCTTCATTTCCACAGCTCACAACGTTGCATCAGAATTCACTGCAGCATGAAGTGTGAGAGAAAAGAGGAAAGTATAGAACGGATAACAGCAAGAGGTTGTGATTTGTCTTGTCGTTTTGTCTGGGAGGGAGAGAAAGTGTGACAGGGAGAGGAGGAAGATGAAGCAAAGAGGGACTGGAGGGAACCGAAAGAAAAGAGTGGGTGGACAGTGCTATCGAGCAAATACAATGTTTCTCAAACATAAATAGAGAATGGAGAAGGGAAGGGTCCATCGGTGTTGTGGAAGTGGGAGGGAAAAGAGGAGAGGAAGACAGGGGTGAAGGGAGACCAAGAGAGAGGTGGACAGAGTGTGAGATCACTGTGAGAGTGGTTGGTGTTAGTATCTGGAGAGTTATTAGTGACCTATTTTCTCCCCACATAACTCTTTCTTTCTCGTCCATCTCTTTCATTAGAAGAACAAAGGGTCCATTAGCTTTGTGTTTTTCCTGTGTGCCTGCATGTCACAGTGGCTGCAGCACTTTGCAACATATATTGATTCACCAGTGGAACTAGGCCAAGGATCCTCTGAGAATATTGTAGGTGTGGGTTTGATCACAAATACAGACATTACACTCAGCTGGACTCAACTGGAGTGCTGAGTGTCACGATCAAAATCATAGCCAGAACAATAAATGACATAAAGCTGACATAATTGTGCTGATGCATCAGTTTCCCTGATGTTGTTTTAATAGTTTGAGAAAAGGAAAATTGAGGTTAATGACCCCGTGTATGACTCTTGCCATTTCACATTCGCCCTCAGTATTTTGAAAAACAGACACTGAAGCACATCAGGCACTTTAAACACACACACACACACACACACACACATACACACGCATACACACACCTAAACACACACTTACCTTTCACACTTTAAGACATGAGGACGAAATGGGCTCTCAGGGGTGGAAGACTTTATGAGTTACGCCTTGTAAAGCGTGCAACGGTAAAATCTTTCCCCCCAGGCTCTTACTGATGTGATGGGCTCTTTTATTGGGGTCAGGAAAGGGCGTAGCACTGAATCTAAGTCTGAGTGTGTGAACGAGAGAGAGAGAGAGTATGTATGTTTGTTTGTGTAGTCCAATGAAACTGTTGACCTGACATTAAGTCTTAGTTTCATAGGTTTCCCAGGTCACCAAGGTTACATATTTATTGTATTCAGGTGGCATCTCAGTTTATCTCACACCCTCATCTATGAACACACTTTTAAATTTATACACACAGACATACAATTACCTTCATCTGAGAAAGAGTTTAACACAAACATGCTCTCATACACACTCACTCGCTCACTCAGTCACACAGTTTATTGAACTAACTCTCTTAAATGGCCTATGGTCATTTAATGATGCAACCAAAGGAAAGGCTGTTAATGTGCTGTATTAGGTGTGTGTATCACATAAAGATATAGATGTGCATATAAACAGTACATAGTAAGAGCTCTTAGAATGTTATTTGCCTTTGTGCTTTATACATGGCAGTATATTTGTTAGCAGCAGGCTTTTATGCTTTTATTTTTTATAAAACACTTATCATTCTAGGTGAGTTTGTTCAGTATAAAATGACCTTGTTCTGGTTGCCTGTGGCTCTTTGCTCCAGGACCGTGAAATAATTTATAGCAAATAATTTGTACCAAAAAGGAGTTTTTAAATGTATTTTATAGAAAATCGCTTTATATATGTATGTTATTGATAATATCTAACTGTGCAATAATGCAGTGGAGGATAATTAATTATTAATCCAATTTACTTAAGTCAAGCTCAAACATACTATGCCAGACAGTATATGATCCAAATTAGTTTTCTTTTCTTCCGCTGACTTGTATTCATTGTTTACCCATTTTGATAACATCCCTGTTCACAGCTAACGGGGTCTGTAAGTAAATAAATATAGTATAACTCACTTACAGTCTTCTCTTTATTCTGTGAATGCTCTATCTCCGAGTGCAGTGGGGTTTGGCGTGTTTTGGGATTAGTGTGTGATTCGTAATCCCAAGGTGGCATTTAACTGGAAGCGCAGTGTAGAATCACACTTCAGACGATGATTCATCTGTGCTAACAAGCACAAACAGACAAAAGATCTCTCCTCCTATCTCGCCTTGCCTCTTAGGAGACACATAAATACAGTAGTCTTTTCATCTGCCCTGCACCTCTGAGCCCTGTCGACAAAATTCTACCCTCTTTAGAAAACCCATGGTATACATCAAATAAAAAATAGATTTCACAGATTTCTTTTAAACATTTGTCACAGTACACTATTAAGTTGAGTTAGCACACTCTAACTACCTATGATAGGTGTCAGATATCAGATGTCTTGCACTATTATCCATCTATCCTTTGATTCTCTATACCACACTTACATTAGGAAGAGGCAGAGAACACACAGAGGCTGCATCCCATTCAGGGTTTGGGTCTTTTAAAGGATGTGGTTCATACATTTGTGTCATTTTGAGGACTGAGGGCCAGACTGAACCTACAATTCCTCCTCAAATGAGACAGTCTAGTCTTACAGAGCCAAAAACTAATGATTTGTTGAGTTGAATGAGTTTCTGTCAACCCATAATGTCAAAAATGTAAGGAACAGAAATTGCATGTCTTCTGCCTGTCAGCCTGTGTATTTTATCCTGTCAGCTGCCTTGCTGTTTAGGACATTCAGGTCTTTACATCTGTCATGACTTAAACTGTCTTGTCCAAAACAATCTCTCATATTTTGTGCAGTCAGCATTCCAAGCTGGAGATAATTTACCATGAACTTCCGTTGATTCGGATTTCACAGTCTGGTCATCGTTCATGTTGCTCAGCTTGTTCCATCCTTGTTTTTGCATTTTTACTTTGCAGACCCACTTGTACTTTCACAGTCTGTCTTTTAAATTTATGTTTCCTTGACACTGTACATGTCGGGATATTCTTAGAGACTTCATAATAACATTTCAAAATGCAGAAAACATTTTCATTGTATCTGAAGAAGGCCATTTTGACCAATAATGGAATAAAAGGTAACTGCCTGGATCATATTTAGCAGAAAGTTACTTGAAAACTGTATTCAATTACTCATTGCACATTGAAAAATACATTACTTTATTACATCACTTTACTAATTACTTTGCAGTAAAAGTAATGCATTACTCAGCTGAGCTCAATTAAAAGTGCATTCAAACAAATCTTCCTCACCTGCACATCACATCTTTTGTATTTAACAGGTGTAGGAATAGAAAATGAGGCATTGTGATTTAACAAGCAGGCAGCCTTACTATTTGGAGTGAATTACTGACCATTGAGTTGCTAGCTTAGCCTCAGTGACTGCACACAGCTCTCCAGAAGACCCAAGAAGCGTGGTTACACACCCTCCAACTCTCAACAAAGCTAGGTGAATCCACAACATGTGAAGAAGACAACTCCATTATTACTATCTGCACACACTTCAGAATCCATCCAATGTCACAGTGTAAACATCAAATATATTTGATGATCGGGGTGGCTCAGATCAGTCTCTGACACAGTTGGTGTGGTTAAGACTGAATCCATAAAGCACTCATTACACCTGACACTCTGAACCAGTCTGCTTTAAGCCTCTCTCCCAGTTGTCAGGAGGGGAAATCTGGGGTAATTCGTCTGGATAATCATGAAGCATGCAGCAGGAAGAAAGATTTAGTGACAAACAGAGAGAGGGAGACAGATGGACTGAATCAGAGAGTGATATAGGTGAAAGATCAAAAGAATGAGAGAGACAAAGACTAATTCACCCAGGCAAGCCAAAGGGGGGAAAAAGAGAGCAATAATAAGCTGCTAGAAAGTACTTCAAACTTTAAAACATGTTCAGCTAACAGAGAAAAAGGTTGTTTATATGTTAAAATGTTCTGGAACTCACTCAGATTGGATGACGCAGCGCTTTGCCGCCTCTGATATCAAAGAAAACAACAGCAGCTGTCAGGCGGTAAATTGCGGCTGCTAACAGTTTGTGACAGGAGTGGGAGGAAAGGAAGAGCGAGAGGAGGAGAGAAAGCTGAAACAGGATTCCTGCACTTCAGGCTTTTGATATGTGGCAGTGAGCTGATGGTAGAGAGGAGGGGGTGAGGAGAGAGAAAAAGGATTTAGGATTGAGGGAGAAAGAGATAACGAAAGAGTGACAGGTAAAGGAAGAGAAGGGAGGTGGGAGGGAGAAGTGAATAAGATCATAAAAGAGAGAGACCATGTTCATATTGATGTAAAATAACTAAAAAGCTAAATGTTGTGACTCTTTTGGAGTCTTTTGTTGTTCCTTAGGTGCAGTTGAGTTCAGATGCCTTCTAGTAACAATCTTTCAGGATTAAAATCTGTTCATAGTTTTGAGTTGGGTAGAAAGTGCCCTGAAAGTGTAAGTGGGTGATGTGATGCCATCATGACATTAGTACTAAACACATGGATAGATGAGTTATATATAAGGAACTGCAAAGACAACACCAAAGGTTTAAGAAAGGATACATTTTTATAGCTACAACTCTTAGCACTCACTTAGAACTATTATTTTAGTACTCTTTGCATTTATGAATGTGTGTCTTGTGCCTGTCGATTACAGGTTCATTTCAAGTATCAGACCAAAAGTTATTTAATTTTGCAGATTAATGACAAAATCATCCAGTGCTACAGTGTCGGTTGCGTCAATCCTTTTGATGGAAGGATTTTCTCTTGAATCTGTGTTTTGTGAGGGATTAAGTTGCAGGTTTGCTTTACTAGCATCTGATTTTCTGTTTTCTGCATCTTACCCTCAGGTGAAAGTGATGGTGCGTGTGTGCCCAGTGTCTCAGTCGGATGCAGCTGAGTCCAGTTCCTTCCTGAAAGTGGATCCCAGGAAGAAACAAATCACCATCATGGACCCCTCAGCCAATCAGACACCAAGCGCTGCCTCCCAGAAAAAAGCAGGAGCCAATCAAGTCCCTCCAAAGATGTTCACCTTTGATGCTGCGTTCCCTCCTGATGCATCACAGGTACAGTAAGAGAAAAGCAAGCAAAGGACTTGTGATTTTGATATAAAACCTTTCATAACATCACATGGAAAGTAAATAATTAAATAATTACAGATATACACAAAAACCTGGACTTATGCCACATTCACGTCATAGTTAGTGGGTGAGTGGATCAGCCTCCAAGTTATAATTCCAAGTTGGAAATATTTGAAAATTCTGACTTTTTACCAAACTAAAGAAAAAGAAAATGTTTCTTTTAAACACTTAAAGGCAACAACACAAAACCAATTTTCTAATAGACCAAGTGTAATATACGTTCAGGTATTAATGCTTTTCTTGACCCTCTTCCTACATCTCTCCTCATTCCTGTCTCTCTCGTCTGCCTGTTGCTAGGCGGAGGTGTGTGCGGGAACGGTTGCCGAGGTGATTCAGTCGGTGGTGAATGGAGCAGATGGCTGTGTCTTCTGCTTTGGACACTCCAAGCTGGGTAACACACACACACATGCACGCAGACTACAAAATCAGAGCAAGTGTGTCTTGTGAGTCATCGTTAGTGTGTGTGTCTGTGTGTGTGTCAGTCTTTCACTTGGCCGTCTCTCCACTGGCCCTCATCTATCAGAGAGAGAAAGAAGAGGATTAGTGTCTGCTGATGCTGAAAGCATTCTCAGTCTGCTCTGTCTGTGTTTCTGTCTTCCTTTCTCTCTCTCTAATCCTTCTGAAGCTGGTTTTTAGAGAAGCTGTCTTAAAAAGGGTCAGGACCCCTTACTGCACACTGTCACATGCTTGAACCCACACACATGCACTGGCACAGTCACCCACACACACATACAGACATGTTCTTCATCCCTGGGTCAGCCCCTGTTGTGTTTATCCCTGTACATGGCAGCAGCATTATCCGTCTTGGCTTGTGATCTTCATACATCCAGTTGGAGTTTGTAAGTCCCCTTGAACTGCTGGCAGAGGACGAAAGCAGCAAATGTAAATGCTGCAGTTCAGCATGGAATACTTCTGTGTTAATGGCTGAGCCATTTACTGGAACAAACAGTAATACAGTTCTGTGAAAAACATGCAAACCACTGAGTTTCCTTGTTCTGCTGCAGGGCATTTGTCCATTGCCAAATCTGTAGTAAAAGTAAACTCTTTTACAAATGTATTATGAGTTAATATTCGTCTTTTTAATGTGGCTGTTTGGTTAAAGAATAATTGGTTATTGCAACTTGGGTTTTACCGTTGATTACAATAACTAATTAGAGTTTGGCAACGTAGCAACAACAAAAGTCCAATGGGGCAAGAAACACAAGCAGTAAAGTTAAATGATTAAGTAAAGTTTAGATGATCCAAATTAAGTGGTTTATATTTGAAACCATTTCATTTGGCGGTAAAACTTTAATACTTTTGTGTATGGGGCCCTGGTGGTCTAGGGATTAAGGCCATGGCCAGGGATTGACCATGGACTGCAACATACCTGGTTGGAGTCTAACTTGGACCTTGTTTCACTGTTTTGCCATTCCCCTTCTCTCTCTCCTTGTTTCCCACTATCTCTGTGCTGTACTCAACATGGATATATTAAGAAAAACTGGAACTGGATGTTCCAAGAAGGCAAATCTTGATTCAACATTTTTTAAATGTTATTGGATCAAATTCTGATACTAAAAAGAGTCTATTTTTATTTTTATTTTTTTGAGGCTCAAAAACACAATTCTGATGAATGATCGTGTATGGGAAAAGTCTCATTGGGCCAGTGTCCGTCACATGAAACTACAATACCAAGTGCAGCCACTACTCCAAAATGGCTTCACAGCCCAGAACTGTTTCAGGGGACTCGGCACAATCTCAATGACATAACGCACCTGTAACGTTGGTAAAAAAGGCTCACACATGTCCTCACACATTTTTATACAAGAATGCTAAAGAGTGACTGAGAGGAGAACTGGCCCACTTCTCCCTTAAAAAGGCCCATGTAGGACATATCAAACAAACAGATGCACATATAATCACCACAGCTCTCCCAAGGCACTAACCCAACATGGCGCACACATCAGACAGCCTGTCTAGATCATCATCTTGCCATGTTTACATGTTTAGATTCAGCTTTCTAATATTGACACATGGAAATGCAGACTGTGTCATGATTCTTGATGACTCATATTTTATAATATGACTGTGACTGGAACCGATATGCCTAACATGCCCCCGAAACAGACCTCTTATTGTCAGTGTTTGATTGTTTCGGATGATAAACATAAGTGAATGTTCTGGTTTTAATACTGCTTTTATGTGACTGAGAAATCCATCAAAGAGAGTTTGCTCTTTCAATCAGTTTTAGTGTTATATTAATGCTGTGGAGCGACTCTGACCTTGCTGGTTTCATTTTAAACGGCTGCTGCTGCAGCAGCTGATGAGATAATTCTTTATGATATAGCCCACCTAGGGCCATGGATCTTAACGAGGCTGCATTATAACGGCATTACCTTTTTCCTAATTAAAATGAGGAAAGTAACACAAGGAGAATTTATCTTCGGCCTGGTGGCTCTCAGCTGTAGACACATACATATAGGGAAGCACACAAGTCTACTCATGTACACACAGACTTTCACAAGGAGTAAGCAGGTTTTCACTAAGCAGGAAAAATCCCAAAAGTCCAAATGATACTGAAAAAAATGGATGAACTTGTCATGTAATTGAATCGTCTGGCTTTAAGTCATGTCTGATGGATTTTGTTATCAGTTATTGGATTATTGGCCTTGTATCATCTTTTAGTAATGTCTGTGTAAGCTCAAATGTAAACGTCTTTGAACAAATCATACAGTGCTTCCTTGTTCTCTCACACTTTCTTACCCTGTTCACTTTCTCTCTGACAGCATCGGCAGCTCTGCTTGATGAGACCAATTACAGGGAATATACATCAGCTACAGAGACATGGACACACACAGACACTGCTTCATGGCCTGTAGTGTAGCATCACTATATTGCAGTGCTGTGTTAGTCAGTGGAGCAGACAGCTTGTTGACCGTGTCTTGACAGCCTGTGCTGGTCAGAACAGAAGGAAACACTGTATAGCCTCACATATACCCACATAGATAAATTTAAGACTCTCTCACGCAAACACAGATCTGAAAGGCGAAAAAGAAGGGGAGGGTTGTTCAAGTACTCTGTGATTATGCTGGTGAGGCATACAGAGCCATTATGACTGAGGCAGTCCATCTGATTTGTTAAATAAAAAGAAATCAACTGGTAAATCAGTTCAGTCAAAGTAAATGGCCCAGTGTTGTTTTAAACAAGTTATTGTAATACAGCTGATTGCAAAATGTAATGCATTCTTTAATAACATTTTGAGATTTTATCTAGGAGAGTCCCTTAGAGAACTTTAAAAGCTTCAATTTCAACACCATATAAACACTATTATATTAGAATAAACCATTTCTGACACTAAAAACAATTTTTTTTGTTGAGCATGTTTACTATTTCTTCTCCAGTTTTTGAAAACAAATGAAGAAATGCATCTTTGTTTTGACAGTAAGTGTAGACGCATCAGGAAACAGTGAGGGAGAACAATGTAAAATTACAGTGTAGGTGACAACCTCCCCTACGTCCTATCTCTGAACAAATCTGAACACATTTCTCTACACTGCATCACACTGAGTCAGGCTTTTGATGTCCTCTGTTTTTGCGTAAATGTTCATGTCGGTGTGATTGTTAGGTTTGACATATGGCTTTGTTTAGGTGTGTGTTTGATCTCTAAGTCCTGACAGCCGGAGCAGGTGTGTGTGTGGGGGGTAATCATCATCTTGTGTCTCAAAGGGACAAATCCTGAGGCTTGAACACACACATTTCACACACACATCTATTCATACAAAAGCACTTCTTTCCTGGGAGTCTTTTTTGATGATGTTCCTTTTGATATATTTCCATCTTTTTTCTGTTCACCCTTCCCCTCTTTTGTCTTTCTGTCCGTCTCTTCCAGGTAAATCCTACACAATGATTGGTCGCGATGACTCTCTTCAGACTCTGGGTATTATCCCCTGTGCCATCTCCTGGTTGTTTAAGCTCATCAACGAGAGGAAGGAGAAAACAGGAGCCCGCTTCTCCGTTCGTGTCTCTGCAGTTGAGGTCAGTGTTACTGACAAGACCTCAATTTGAAGTACTCCCTGCAGAGTTGCCATTAGTGATACAGACATTTGAGAAATAAGGCTACTAAATAGTGGCAGTAGCTATCGCTAACAGTGTAGTATCTCACATCAGTTGCCTATAACTGTGACATTTTTACTGTTGACTTTCCATCTCAAGAAATAACTACTCTGTAATAAGGTTTTAAAGAAGGTTGGATTCTGGAATGTCATGGATCAATTTGGGAAAGACAGAAAATAAAAGACAATAAGGTGACTACTACTAGTCAGCTAGTGTATATGTGTGTCTCTCTCTCTGTGTGTTTGTAGGTTTGGGGAAAAGAGGAGAATCTTAAGGACTTGCTGTCTGAAGTAGCTACAGGCAGTTTACAGGATGGACAGTCACCTGGAGTCTACCTGTGTGAGGACCCCATCTGTGGCATGCAGGTACAAACACACGTGCACACATTTAAAAACACTGTAGCTGATGGTGGCATTAGTTTATGTAACATGGCCTACTGTAAATTATGTGTAAAAAGTATGTGAGTGAGTACGAACAGCCTCAGGACTTGTATCAGTATGCTTTACCTTTGGTGGTTTTAGCCTCCGGCAGTTCTCCGTTGTCTCAGCCATTGTGAGACACACCCACATTGGAGCAGCAGATACAATATAAGCTTTCATATGCTTTTAGAGTCCTTTTTTCTTCTAAAATAAACACGATATGATTTAGAAACACCGGGTTCATTTATTCATCTGTTTTACTTAAAATACGGTTACTGCTTACTACTACCGAATCAAAGAAAATGTGTCAAGTGCAAAAAATAAGTTGGATGAATTACTAGAAAAAATATATAATTTTAATGTCTGCTAATAATCAAAGGTCCATTGTGAAACGTATGTGCAGAAATGAAACTACCTATATGATCGTCATAGGTATGTTTTCACTTCAGTGGCTTAAACTCTCCCTGAAAATAAGAATTTGATTTTTTATGCTACAAGCTAGCGGGCTCACTACACTCGGGGCCGACATGTTGAAAATCGGCCATGTTCTCACGACGTAGGCCATGTTTCTAGAGTAGCTCAGAACAAAACACTGACAATCCTACACACCTGAGAGGCTGAGCTGTATTCAGATGGTTATAATCTGCAACTTCACCACTAGATGCCATTAAATCTTACACACTGGTCCTTTAAGCTTTTTTAAATTGGCTTTGCTTACACAGACATTTTTTAATTTACTGATCGCTAAACAATCCTCTCTCATTTCCATTATAATTATTATCATCCTCATTCATTGTAGGGTAATAACTACATAGCAGTCTGAATAGTGTGTGTATGTAGAATAGTGCCAAAAACGACAGAGGGTGAGCTACGTGTGTGTGTGTGTCTGCAGTTATATGTTTATAGGATTATAGGGTCTGATACAAGAACATCTGTGTAATCCATAACTAATCTGACATAATCTCATCAGTAATGATATCCTGCGGTACCACACACTCTCCCTCCCTCTATCTTACTCATCTGTGCTTACCTCTATCTCCGTCTTCCATACCTGCAGGCAAATTAGAAAATGCTTTATTTGAATATGCCAATCAGTCCTGTACATGTGGAATCCTCATAGCACACAATATTATCAGTGTTTTGACACTTCTTGGTGGGTAAACTGAGTCTCCTCAGCTAGGATTAAATGGTACCTTCCCTCTTGTCTAGCTCTCTGCCTATATTTTTTGAAAAAAAAATTTCTCTTACCACACATTTTCCAGCTCCAAAACCAGTCTGAACTGCGTGCTCCAACCCCAGAGAAAGCAGCCTGGTTCCTCGATGCAGCCATAGCAGCTCGCCACAGTAGCCAAAGCCCCAACCCCACTGAAGAAGAACATAGGAACTCACACATGCTGTTTACATTACACATATACCAGTATCGCATGGAAAAGACAGGCAAAGGAGGGAGTAAGTATATTTGCTCTAACCAAGTTATTATGCTATGAACACTGTTATTAATGGTGCCACTTTATCTAATGTAATTATTAAACTAAAACCTAACAACAACACATGAACGATTATACATAATTCTACTGCTGCAGACTAACATTATTGTTGTCATAACACACATTGACTACTGTGAGTCGTACATCTGATAATCATAGTAGAATAAAAGCAGACACAAACATGCTGTTTACTATTAAAATATTCACCACATGGAAGGTAGAGCAAGGAGTGAGTGTACACAAGGATAGACAGATCAAACTATTATATATCTATAGCCACTATGGATAAATAGCCAGTTTAAGCATCATAATTCTTGATAGATTAGTACACATACCTATCAAAGACTGTATGTTCCCTATATAGATTCTGTGTTTAGATTAATCAACACGAGCACACGTCTACATAAATAAGAGTCGTAAACTTTAGAGGACTAGGTTTCCGTCTACAGAATTCAGAAAAACAACTCTACTTTGATGATATATCATACTGTATACTATTATATATTATCAGATTGATTCAAATCTTCCCTCACAAATCAACTGACCTCTTGACCGAGCACCATTTAAAAGCCAATCAGAATTTTTTGTGATAAGCTAAATTTGTAGAATAAGAAGAACAAAACTAAATTTAAGTCAGAAATCTAAGATTTAAAGATGAATTTAATTTGATTGTTTTTTATTTGAATGTTTCCTGACTTATATTCTCTCTTATATCCTCACCCCTTACAATCCTCTTGTCTTTCCACCATTTTTGACAATTTTTTTCACTTTGCTAGTGTCAGGAGGTCGCAGTCGCCTCCACCTGCTGGACCTTGGCAGCTGTGATGTCAAAGTACTTGGAGGAGGAGGAGGAGGAGGAGGAGGTGGTGCAGGAGGTGCGGGAGGTGGTAAAAGCAGGGATAACTCTTCACCCAGTTCGGCCCCTCTGTGCCTTTCTCTGTCTGCCCTCGGCAACGTGATCCTGGCCCTGGTCAACGGGAGCAAGCACATCCCATACAAGTAAGGTGGTGTGTGCGCGTGTATATGTACGTGTGAGGAGACTAGGAGAGGAGAGGATAAAGGAAATGTGCTAAGATGCTTTGAATAAAGCAATGAAAAGAAACTGAGGTAGGAAACAAACAGCAGGATACAAGAGGCCCAGTTAACAATTTGGTGAAGGAAGCGTGGATAGGAGTGAAAGGTGAAATGAGTAGGAAAGCAGGGAGTTTTGGAGCTGGAGGGGAAGAGGAGAGCGAAGCAGACGAGAGATCTCTTAAGTTGTTTCACGTTTTGGGGACTTAATGTTAAAAACAACAACAGCTGCTGTTACATATTCATGGCATTCATTTTGCTGGTTAACTGACTGGCAATGAGAGCAAAGGAGAGATGGAGAGATAATACAGACAAACTGTAGCCAGTAAAAGCCAGTAAAAAGAAAATAAATAATAATTTGAAGTATTTTTTGTTTAGTGTGGCCAGGCAGTATACAATATGTACTGTATATGGACCAAACTGTACTGTAAATATCCTCATTTTACCTTTCTTTCCAATTAATTTCTCTTTTCTTTCCTCCACTCTCCTTAAGGCTGTGTAGCTCTCTGCTTCTTACCTGGTTAATTTATCACCAGCTTTTGTATTTACATTGCAAAACAACCTGCTACCTAACACTGAAGCTGCAAGCAAAGCGGTGCTGAGTCTGGTTTGGCACTGGCGACTCAAAGTTCTGTCGGATTGTGACAGGATTTGGACTGGTTTAACAATGTATGCCGTGTTACTGCCACTTCTCCAAAACGAAGGACTGAGAACAAGTCACAGAATTACAAATCCCACAGCAAAGGCAGGGGAGCACCATTATGCTCACATGGATGTCAGTGGAGACAAGTGGAGTCTGTCACCACGGGGCTGTACTCAGAAGGTTTTAGAGGACGAGCTAATTATTGATTAAAAATATGGTTGTTGGTGTTTTTGAGCAGCATGTATGCTCAATTTTCGTGGTCATACAGTACAGGACTTTGGAGGTAGCATTTGGAGACAATAAGGTACAAACTAAACAGAACCTCCAAAATTTGAATAACAAGACCAGAGTCAACACGAAGGGTCTATTTGCAGTCTTTACTTTACTAAACGACACACCCCCTGAGATAACTGCCTGGATTAACATACTTATTTTAACCCAAACCATAATCTAAATCTAATTAGCACTAAATACAAAGTACAGTCGAGGCTGATGGGAATGTCATTCATAGCAAAATTTGGTGGAGAAAAAGTCAGAGGATAACCAAAGAGACTGAATTTAATGGTCTAGGGGTCATGTATGTCTGTCATCAAAGTGATGGACTGACAAACCAACCTACTGAATAACCGCCCTACAATTACACGCAGTCTTTCATGTGACGATATTTTATTTATCCTTTATTTAGCCAGGAAAGGCCATACAATCTCTTAATCAAGGGAGTCCTGGAACGATATATTGGAAGCTATGACTAAACCAAACCAAATATGTGTTTAAATTCAGTTTGAGTCCAAGAACTCCACTTTATTAATTTCATCACAGTTGAGCCTGTCTTCCAGTGCTTAATTACTTTCAGGAGAGGGTCCCAGTCCTATTCCAGTACTGTTGCTAGGTAACCAGTGATTCTATGCCAGTTCATCAGTAAAATATTAGATATTATTGTGTGTTTGTAGCTTCCCATGTCTGGAAAAGAGGCAGACAGTTGTCTGTCACCAGCAAGTCAACACTTGGGCTCTTGCTCAGAGAGGAATCCAAGCATCTTAGTGTGACAGACGGCGGTCTAGCAGGATCCACGTTTTAGCCACAACATGCTCATGTAGATTTAAAGGCTCACATTCACTAAACATCAACCTTTCTGATCAGGGACAGCTTCTTGTCCAAAACAAGACCACTTCCCCTCTAGTTTGTTGTATCTCTCCCCTAGCAAATATAGCTCCCTACATTTTTCCACTGACAGTCCTATACTGTCTGGAGTCTCCCTGTCATACAAGACACTTCAGGGACACAGTCAGTCCTATACTTTAATACCAATACCAGTAATTATTAGCAATATAAGCATAGAAAATCCTATATTACTTCAGTCATACATAAGTACGGGTTAACTGTTTAGTAATGCTTTTCTTCTGCATATGTGCTCCTAAATGTTAGTTACTTGTAATAAAAGTGATCTAAGAATTTAGATGCTGCATTCATTAAAGGCTGGTTTTAATCATAGAGAGCATCGTGTTACATACACTAGTCCTCCCTGGTAAAAAAAATAAAAACCCATAATAAATCTAGCACAGCTGAAAGCTCTTGAATTAACATGCAAATGAATACTTCATGAGTCATGAATTTACCTACATTAATATCAGAGAGAGATATAGAGTGAGATAGAGGAGAGAGAAGAGGGTTTGTTGAAGCCTGAGGCAGCAAACGGAGAGAGAGGAGAGGAGAGGGGAAGGAGTAGAGCATCGATGAGAAAGAGGAGGTCAAGATATAGGGAGTGTGTACATACTTGTGTGTGTGTGTGTGAATGTAAATGTACGTGTGTGAGACATGCCTGCAGGCTGTGTTTTTAGAAAAAGGGGACAGCAGCGTGAGGTATTGGGCCACAGAGGAGCTTTACTCACTGTCAGCCTGCAGGCCTCAACAACACACACACACACACACACACACACCACACACACACACACACACACACACACACACACCACCACACCACACACACACACACCTACCCACACACACACACCTACACACATAAGGCTATGAATGATTGCAGTAGCCCACCCAGAAGAAAGTCTTTTCTTAAACACACAGCCTACTTTTACTCTCCCATCTGCTAGTATAATCTCTCTGGGACATAGATCATCTCCCAATATTAGACTGCATAATATGTGCTTCTTTCATAGAGTGCTTCTTTTAAGACTATTAGCTTTAGTCTGGTATAGCACCATGTCTTCATGTCTTTTTGCAACATTAATCAATAAATATAATCAATAATTACTATTAACTTTACCTTTTGAATCTTTTATTTTTATTTATATGAATACGTTTGCCTAGTATTTTGTCATTATAACACAGACTATTAGCATTTTTTCCAACTTGTAGAAAATGTTTAGTGGTCTTGTGACCAAGAGGAGCTATTAATAATCTTTTGTCAAATGTCAGATACTATGTGTTGGCGTCTGTTGGAAAATCGACCAGTTATGTCACATGTTTGAGTGACTGTGTGCATTTCCAACGTGTCTTTAGTGCTCATATCTCGGTGTATATGTGTGTTACTAGGGACAGCAAGCTGACCATGTTGCTAAGGGAGTCGCTAGGCAACATGAACTGCCGGACCACCATGATTGCTCACATCTCTGCCTCACCCAGAGATTTCTCAGAAACCCTTTCCACCATCCAGATTGCTTCCCGCGTCCTCCGCATGAAAAAGAAGAAAACTAAAGTCACCGTGGTGAGTTTGAAACAAACCTTGATGCTTTATTAAAATTGGCAGATTGTTTCTATGAATCTCATGAAACTAAAACTTTAGGTACATTAAGTTCAAGATAAAGACAACTACAGTCACTGTCGACAATGCATGGCATGTTTTATTTTTGGAGTTAATGTAAAAATCTTTGTGTAACTAACTGCAAGTTGAAATTACTTTATTTGGAATGTCTGTGCTGAGTCGATTTCCAAATGTCATGCATTTTATCACCTCCTCTCCCTTTCCATCACATGTACGCTTAGTGCTGCTGACACCCTCTCTCATCTCTCACTTCTCATGCTCACTTATTTCAGAACTGTTCAGCTGAAGAAAAAGGAAAAAGGCTTCAGAGCTCTAAAAATAAAGCTCCAACTAGAGAAAACTGAAGTCATGAGTGCAAGTCTGTGATAGAAGTAGGAATAATTAAATTAAAGTTCTTATCTTAAATCTGTTACGTGGTTAGGCTGCACGTTGGTCCAGAATCTGGATGTCATCCTTCCCTCTCTCTTCCGACTCCCTCCGTTGTGAGCTGTCAATTAAAGGCAAAAAAAAAAAAAGCACTCTGCGTATCTAAAAAGGGAATATATTTTCTCTCTCACCACCTTACACTGCCTTCTCTTTGCCTGTCTTTGTCTGTCCTCAGCAATATACCTCCAGCTCCTCTGGAGGAGAGAGCTCCTGTGAGGAGGGTCGCATGCGTCGTCCGACCCACCTGCGACCTTTCCATCACCGTGGTGACACTGACTCTGACCTCCCATTGCTGCGACTGTCCAGTGACCCTGACGAATACTCGAGCAGCGAGCAGTCATGTGACACGGTGATCTACGTGGGCCCAAACGGTGCTGCGGTGTCAGATAGAGAGCTGACGGACAATGAGGGACCACCAGAATTTGTACCAATTATTCCGGCTTTGCTTCGAGGTAAAGTGTCAGAGCAGCAGCAAACACAAGGTCAGGCAGCTGGAGTCCAGAACAAGGTAATTTAAATATATTTACATTCAGAGTTTAGACAATCAGCAGTAATCAGAAGAATATGTGTTGTAAAAACACAGGTTGACTTACTTCTCTGTGATTTGTTCTAACAGGTGCAGTCTCAGCCAGAGGACCAGCCCAGTGGGCCCGTTCAGTCCCTACCTCAGCCCTCTCAATCACTACTTGGACAGCCATTGGCCCCAGTCCCAGAGGAGGGAGCTGAGTGCCTGAAGTGCAACACCTTTGCTGAGCTGCAGGAGAGACTGGACTGCATTGATGGCAGCGAGGAGGTGAAGAGAGTTTTATGTCCCTCTTTTGTTGTAATTATCTGAAATTGTTCTGTCAGTGTGATGGCATCTGCATTTGACGGGGAGTTTGACATGTTGTTTGACAGGTTGAACACTTTCATCTATTCAAATGGAAACAGAAGTTTTGTCTCTATCTGCCTAAAATGTTCTGCATGTATCTGCAGAACCTTATGATTGCTGTCACGTTTGTAGTGGCAATTTTCTGTCCCTTCAAATAACCATCTGCATTCAATTGAGTTATTTTATAACACAACTGAAAGCGTGTGTTTGAAAAGGCATTGCATTATCATTTTTAAAATATTGGTACAGGACCCTGTTATTTACATGTCACTAATGCAGGTTTTTATGTTGTTAGCAGCTCAAATGATCTTGTTTATTCTCATTCCCATTCTCACACTAAAGGCGACATGTAGAGAGCATCTCCTTTGTCAACAATCAAATCAGACTAACTCAGGTATTCTCATATGAAGAAACAAGGCTTTTTTCTTGTCCATCCATTTCTTTGTCCCTTTGTTCAGGTGGCAAAGTTCCCCTTTGAAGAGGTTCCAGCCAGCAAACAAGGTGCCAAACAAGAGCCATGTCCATCTTCAGCAGTCCCAACCTCAGCTCCTTCTGCTCCTGGCTCTGCTGCTATGTTGGATACAGAAACCAAAACAGGTTAATTCATTGATAATATATATAATATAGAATATACAGTATATAGATATTGTATTCCAGCATTTTATAATTTGTGACCAAAACCTGGCTTTGAAGGCTTCTGCAGGCCAGTTTGACAACTGTAGCTCTGTAATTCAGCAACAATCAGGTCCCATTTTACAGTGTTGTAAAAAAAATTGCTGTCAAACATCTCCAGGCTCTGCATGTGCTGTAGGAGGTGCAGTGCAGTCCTTCTCCTCCTCAGCAGCAGCAGCAGCAGCAGCAACCTCCAGGAGGAGGACCAATGACCAGCAGCTGCAGGAGATCAGGGAAGTGGTGGAGGAGGCGGAGCTGGCCCAGACAATGATCCACAATCTAGCTCAGAGTTCTGGTTCGCCCATAGTTACAAGTGCCAGGAGTGTTACAGGAAGTAGCAGCATCACCTCTAACCCCCTGCACAGGGCCAAGAGCTCCCACCTGAATGACAGGTGAGGACACTCTTTCTTGCAAATGTTGCCAGAAGCCATTGGAAAGTATTTGCCTTTACCTCACAAGATGTTTCGGTTATTGTCTCTCTGATCAGCCGCGAGAGTCTGAATGCGGGCAACACTGACGGGAAGGCACGCCCACTAGGATCACCACGCCTTGGCATTGCCAGCCTGACCAAAACCTCAGACTACAGGTACGCATTCATACGCACGGGCAATAACTGCGGGCTTTTTTCATTTTGTTCTGTTTCAGTAAAATGACTATTTACACATAAAACTTTTTTTCCCATTCCAACACTGGCTCCATATTGTTTAATTCTGATGCTTCTCCTCAGGCCTCCGTCCTCTCCCTCCCAGCGGTGTAAAGTCTACACACAGAAGGGCGTGATGCCAGCAACACCCCCTCTGTCCTCACACACTCTGGCTCAAGACGGCCAGGCCACAGAAGCTTTGACCTCAGACAGTATGCATCTTTCTACATATTCATGCTTTAGAATTAAGCTTGTACTGAACCTCTAAATACATGTTTCATATTTATGATGATTAGTAACTTTTTCCATTTTTTGTTTCCTTTTCTTTCTTCTTTTTCTCTTATTAGTCTTACTTTGGCAAAGTTCAAGACCATTGCCACACTCAGTGGTGGAAGAATATCTAGAATGTTTATATTTTATTAATTGATTTTCTGTTTTTCATATACTGTTATTAGTTTTGTAACACATGCTATGTCTATTATTGGGCATCTTAACACGTATCTCTTCATTCTTCAACTGTTAATCCCTCCTGCAGGTAATGTTATTGCTGTTTTATACCAACATCTTGACAAGGCTATAACAGAGTCTATGTAATTTTTTGACGAATATAAAATACAGTCACACATTAAGTCACCTGAGCACAACACAGTTTATCTGCATAATAACAGGTGGTTCCAAATTGGGATCATAGTGGGATGCCAATTTTCTTGTATTCTGCACTTGGAAAATAACATTAATTACCACGCCAAATGTGTGTTTCTGATTCTGCAGACAGTTTGGCTGCAGACAGCGGCCGCTCCTCCACAGAGTCCCTGCTGTCCAGGACTTCTCCGGTGGGCATGAGCCCACAAGTCAGAGAGCCAACTCCGTCTCTGTCTGCCAGCCTGGGCTCAGCTGAGACTCTCTGTGACGACGATGTCCCCCCGATACCATTGGACACGCACAGGGATGGTGAGTTGCAGTAAAGCACTGCTATTTTTACACAAGGAAAGGGGGTGAGTTGCAGAATAAGTAACATGAATCATATTCAAACCCTCAGAATTATGACGTGAAATATGCTGCACACAAAGCAAGAACAGGAAATGAACAAATTTGGTTTTCACACTCTCCCTTGCTTGCAGGACCAGCAGTATCTGTCGGAACAGTCAGTCCTCACTCACTTGGGGAGGATGAACTGGTATACACTGTGGCTTCTGGAGGTGTGGAGAACCTTGATCTTACAGCTCTCATGGAAACTCAGGGCCTGACCTGTCGTCCAACAAGCATCATCAGCTTCAACAGTGACCACTGCTCTGTCACAGCCTTAACCTCGAGCTCTCAAGCTGTCAGCATCATCAGTGGTATTGCTGAGGATGGAACTGTGGGGGATTATCACATGCATGCAGGCCCTGCAACAAGCTCAGGGGTTACAGAAGTTGTTGCCATAGCAGAGGTTAGTGTGACTTACTTTCTTTGCATCTTTTGCATTTTTTAGTGATTAAGATCATTTGGAACGTGGATATGTGTCCTAAACTAAAGCTAAAATTCACACATAGCTGATTTGATATAATTTTAACCAAAATACAGAACAATACCCACCATAGCAAAAGCAGCACACTATGGTTGTGGGTCACTGAACACTGATGGAAAATTCTGTCTCATTATGTGATTCAGATTCAAAATTCAGATTCAAATTCACATATGAAGCAGATTTTTTTCTTTTTTTACAAAATGCTTTACAGAATTAGGAGTAAATAATGGTTGTTTGGATTTCAAGATGCCATACCTAATTGAATTATGTCTTGTCTTAGGTGGCCATGGCCAAGCTGCGGATGGAAGGTGAAGCCTTAGCCACAGTGATGTCAAACTGTGGTTCACCCATCTCCTCTTGGATGAGTGATCTGAGTGTGGGCAGTGAAGCTGACCAGTCTCTCCACAGCTTCAGTCAGTCCCAGAGCCAGCAAGGGGAGGCCCTGGCTGAACCTGAACCTAACCAGAGCCTTCCCTTTGGAGTGGAGGGGTTGGATGGTTATGAAAGCTGTGGTAGCCCGAGAAGAGGGAGTCTGGAAGGGGAGGTGGTGCTGTCTGTAAACAAGAGCGACAAGGGAACTCCAACCAAAGACAGGCTGAGGAAACTGCCTCCCTCCATGGCTAAAACTAACATTCAAATCCTGGCAGGACCTGGTAACTTCTCTCCCTTCAAGACCACCATCAGTGTGCACCCATGTGTGGCTGTCAAACCCATGGTTTTACAGGAACCAACCATCCTCTCTTCACCTACCAAGACCAGCTTCATGAAAGACCCTGGCAAGTTTAATGCACCACTTTTAGCTTCTATTTCCAGTGAGATGAACTTTGAGGACCCCTGGTTGAAGCGCGGCATGGAGGAGGGGAGGTCCAGGGAGCTTGTGTGTGAAGTGAAGCCAGGGAAGAGGGAGGTGGAGCATTCAAAGAGCCAGGCTGGAGCTGGGACTGGGGACCACCAGAGCTTCTGCCAGGATGGTAAGCAGGGTTGGACTGGGATGGAAATGTAACATCAGTCCAGGCCAGTCACCACACAACAGACCACATACACTGTAACCACTTTGCTGAAATGGTTATACTTCAAAATACATTTTTAAAACTTTCTTCAGTTCAAGAGTTAGTCAATTGCACTTCCATAATTAAGGATACAGGAATAAGTAATATATATAATTTTTGTACATGTATGAAGTTTTGAACAAAGTATCAGGAAGGGTAGTAGTTAGTTATAATGTTGATGCTGATGGAAAGAAATATGGAAATGTTGTTTTAAAGTAAAAGATTTGCAGGATTCTTAAATTTAACTGTGTGTTCTTTCTTATTTGCAATTTTTCCATCTCCAGGTGGAGATCATGGCAGCTCTAGTTCAGGTGGTGAGGTTGTGTCATCTCCAGATTCCTTTAAGAGAGTGGTGGATGGCTGTGAGATGGTTGCTGTTGTTGCCCAGGGAGAATACCTGACTAGTATGTACAGCCCAGATATCCACCGCACTGCCAGTCTTCCCCGTGGCTGGCACCGTCTCAACCGTCACGATGGCTTAGACAATGGAGTTGAGTATCGTAATCTTGGCGTCACCACTTCAACTCCCTGCAGCCCCCGCGCCACACTTGACCGCCGAGGATCAACTGGAAAACAGGGCATTTTCTCCCACAAGAAGGGGGGAATACCACCTCTGCCACCAGTACGGAAGTCCAGCCTCGACCAGCGGAACAGGGCAGCCAGCCCTCTCCACCAGCTCAACCACGGAGTCTCATTACTGGGCAGCTCAACAGATGATGCAGGGATATCTGGATGTGGCCCTGCAGGTGTCAGCAGACAACGAGGCTCCAGCATAGACAGCAGCAGACTTTTCAGTGCCAAGTTGGAACAGCTTGCAAACAGAACCAACTCTCTGGGTCGGGTCCACACCTCCCACAGTGGTTCCCACCACTACGACTGCTTCTCTCTAGAGAGGGGTGGCAGCCTGAGAGGGGGAGGAGGAGTGAGGGGGGACAGCACCATGCCTCGTACTGGGCGCAGCCTTACCCGTGCTGGATCAGTATCTTCTCCTACAGGAAACAACAGCAGCCCCAGTTTCAACACCAGTCCCGGGCCAAGCAGTGCTCCACAGTCACCAGCCAAAATCAGCGGCCAGTCAAAGATCTCAGCAGTTAGTAAGCTGCTGATGACCAGCAGTCCCAAGACCAGGAGTCTGTCTGCGTCAAGCACCAAAACTCTGAGCTTCTCCAACAAGTCTTTAAGCCAAGCTTCCAGTCGCAGCTCCAGCCTTCCTCCTAATGGAAAGGTAAGAGGGAAAGTTTCTTCACAGCAAATGTAAAAGCACAACACTGCTTATTGGCTTCCATTTCTCCTTCCAATCACCTAACACCTAATCGCCATTTATTTGTTTTCTCAGCCCCAGAGTTCAGTCCAGGGCCCTCTGCAGCAGCAAGGACCTTCCCCTGTAACCTGGTCTACCCAGTCTTTGAGCCGCAGTCGAGGGGGAAGCCTGGCTGCCAAGCTGCCTCTCCGGGCTGTCAACGGTCGAATCTCAGAGCTCCTCCAGGGAAGTGCAGGCTCCCGTACTAGGAGTCATTCCCAGGGAGGAGGCACAGATCTAGCAGAGGAAAGAGGAGTTGGAGGGGCAAGGTTAGTCAGTTTTTATTTATTTATTTTGCAATCCAAGCATTTAATAAATCCTAAACAAAGAAAATTGTTTAGTTCAGTTCAACTTCCATCAGGGACTATTGTTGCATGTCATTCCCTCTGCTCTCTACTTTTATCTATTAACTAAAAATGGTGGAAATAATTAGTTTGTGGTTTCAACTATTTTATCCTATGTTCCTGTTCTCAGTGGAGGAGGAGCTGGAGCAGGAGGTGGTGGTGGAGGTGCCCTGGGAGAGGAGAAGGCAGCAGTGGTCCAAACTCTCCCCTCTCCCTACAGCAAGATCACGGCTCCTAGAAAACCACACCGCTGCAGCAGCGGCCATGCAAGTGATAACAGGTATAAACTCGAGTTCACTGTAAAATTTGTAATTTTCACAACACTCTTTTGGTGCTGCTTTTACCTTTAACTGTGATCTGATTTGGACTTTAACAGCAGTGTACTGAGTGGTGAGCTTCCCCCGGCCATGGGGAAGACCGCCTTGTTTTACCACAGTGGAGGCAGCAGTGGCTATGAGAGCATGCTGAGAGACAGCAGCGAGAACACCGGAAGTACCTCGTCTGCTCAGGACTCTCTCAGTGAGCATAGTTCAGCCACCACCTCCTCCAGACGGAGCTCCAAGAGCAGCAAGAAGAGCAGGAGCAACACAGGTCACAATTAAACATTTAAAGCTACTTTCTAAGTATTCCTTTAATTATATTTTTTACTGAATTGAATCATCGAGAAAGGCTATTATTTTTTATAGAGGGGTGAATTCATGTAATTTGCTTTAATCTGCAGAGCTAACCCTTAATTTAGATATGACAAAGCTATAAGTGTGCTCTGAATTACAAAAGAAACAGAAAGCTAAGAAAGAAAGAGAAAGACCTTTATGAAAAATGATTACCAGGTAAGGGAAAAGTGAAGAAAGCTGTGGTTGCAGAAGGAGCCAGGTAGGAAAGGTGACCCTGACCATCCATCTGTGAAATGGTAAAGGGAATCTGCTGGTGTGGGCTGTAATGAATATATATTCACCAGAACGCCAGAGAGGCTGCTAATGCGCCTGCCATATTACACTCTACTGGTTAAGCATAAGGATGGATATGTGTATAAAATCAGATTAGACAGAGGCAGCTCTTCCTGGTGAGATTAAATTGGAGTGACCCTTTGTGTGCTGGTTACAGCCTCACCTCCTACCATGCAGCATGAAGTCTGGATTTACTCCCATTTTCCTTTAACAACAACTGATTCTGTGCTTCAAAGAGAGCATCGACTGTCAAACTGTCACAAGAAGACACAAAACCAAAAAGGATTACTCCATGTTTGTTGCACATGTTGAAGATGGATACGACAGTTCAGTCCCAATTCAGGCAGACAGAGCATAAATAGTAAGAGGAAGAAAGGGCAGATGTGCCACAGACTGAAGCGACCAAAATGTTAATAACATCTCCAGCTGAGTCTCTCTTTGTGCTTGATTTCCATCCCATTCACAAGCTCTCTCTCATTTTTTCTTCAAGGTCTCTTCCCCTGCTCATCTTTTTTCATCTATTCATCTCACACGTTTTCTACCTTCGTCTAACTCTCTCCCCTTGCACCGTCCCCTCCCTGCAGACCCTCAATCTTACCCCTTATATTCCGCTTCTTACTACGTAATGAAATACAAATGTCTCTGCTTGACCTGTCAGTGCCGCACTGAGACCAAAAGACAGCTGCAACCTTATTAAAATCACCACTGTCTCTCACTCTAACCTTATCTCTCAGTTCCTGTTCAATCTGATAACTCTCACTCCTGTCGACATGGCTGGCAATTTCTATGTAAAGTGTGTGTGCACGTATAAGTGTGTGTGTTCGTTCCAGTGTAGTGGGCAGATTAGAGAGTGACCTGCTGCTCTTATCTATGAGCTTCATGAGAGAGACTGGAGACTAAACTTTTTATCTTGCTTCACGCTCCATTTCTGTTTCTCGTTCTTTTTCTCCTTTTTTAGCCACTCAGTAATTTTCTTTTGTTCTTTCCTTTCTGTCTCTCTCCAGAGATTCATCCATCTACCTCTCTTCTCTCTCCCACCCATCATGTCTTTCCTCAGCTTACAATATTTAGCTTTTATATTCATGTCATATTTCCCTTATTTCCCCTATAAGATACTTATTTTGATGCAAAGCAAATGGTAAAGAGTGAACAAGTACATTATGGGTTCCCTGTTGAGCATGTGACCCTACCAGTATGTGGTATGTCAGATATGTTAGATTAAAGGTACAAATTGACATTTTGGGATATTTGAAAGTTAGATAAGATGATCAATACAACTCTCATATACGTCATATATGTTTAATATAAGGTTACAGTCAACAGACGTTAGCTTAGCTTAGCTTAGCACAAAGACTGGAAACGGGGGAAAATCTAGCCTGGCTCAGTCCAAATATAACAAAATCTGCTTACCAGCACCTCTAATGAAAATAAAGAAGTTATATATTATTTAATATAGAAATATATGTATTTATTGTATATATATTTGTTGCCCATGCGCAATGACTTGATTTCCTGGTGCCTTGTTGTTGCTATGAGAGTGTTTTTGTCAAGTTAAGTTAATTGGCTACTGGTTGGCCTTATGTTATTGTGATAATTCATGCTACTTGATAAATAAATAAGAGTGTAAATAAAGGGCTACTAACCGTGTATAGCACCAAATGTGTTTCTATGTCTGGAAACACTTCATGATAAACTTTTTTTTTAAATTCTCTTTATTTTATTTGTTTTTTCAGGCCTCCAGCGTCGTCGTCTGATCCCAGCACTGACCTTGGACTCTTCCACCTCCTCCCCTTCTCACCGCTCCTCCAAACAGGCCGTCACTTCCTCTTCTTCCTCTTCCTCCAGCCCAGGTGCATGCTGGGTAGATGGCCCATTAGGGCCCCCAGCTCCCTCAAACCTCCGGGCAGTGACTGCAACAACAGACACCTTTGAGATCAAAGTGTACGAGATAGATGACGTCGAGCGGCTGCAGAAGAGGAGAGACAAAGGAGGGAGCAAGGTGAGAGAGAGAAAGGAGGTGGGTGAGGCTGTGAGAATTACAGACATGGCAGGTACAGAACAGACTAAAATTCCCCAATCTCTGGGGTAAAAGTAACTCATTCACATACAGTAAGGATAAAGTGAGGGAAGGGGGTAAGATAAGGTCTGTAACTGAAAAAGGAGGGAGAAAGACAGCGTAACAGTATGGAGGAAAGTATTTGGAAAGAGGGAGCAAAGAAAACAGGAAAGGGTTAAATAAAGGATAATGTGTGAGGAGAATACATTGTATGGTAGGTTGAAGGAGCATGAGGAATGGATGTGGGGAGAAAATTAAAGAAGCTGGACAGCCAAAGAGCAGAAAAGGAGGCCCAGAGGGCAGGAGGCATATTGCACTTGATGTCAGTGAAATTGATTTGATGAATAATAGTTGTGGGAGCCTTTCGAAAGCAATAAGTGTTCTGTTAGACACTGTTGCTGGAGGAGAACGAGAGGAGGAAGCAGGAGAGAAAAAGAGACATAGGAAGCTAAGGGATCTGAGCGTGTCAACGAGGAAAGGGACTTAAAAATAAACACTCAGTTTTAAAAATACAACAGATACAAGATATTTACTAAATGCATTAATCAACATTAGCACAAAATTTTGTATGAATAGTGAGCCAAAATGAATCTACATTTGATTTCCCTCTGATACTTTTAAAGTATCATTTTAGAAATGATTAAACATTCCCAAGATTTAGCAGAATACAGAGTGGTAGTGAACTAAAATGCAAATGAATGCACAGTGCAGGTTTTTGGGTTCCCACTCTTAAACCTTCAAGAAGTCAGGGGAGGGAGCATTGTGAGCTTTGGAGAAGATGGGGGAAAGAAAACCATGAAATATAGATTTTCCCTGCAGCGGCCTTAAGAAAGCCACTTAACCCCCGACGGCTCCGGTGAAGCTGCTCAGTGTCCGAAAATACTCAAGTGCGGTCACACTGAGAGTCAATGAGGTGTGAATGCATGTAACTGTGTGAATGTTAAGCAGGCTGCTGCTGACAGAGAGCCACATGTGTTTCACAACACACTCCTCCAGATAAATGAATACAGGTGAATAAAATCGATGTCTGTCTGTCTGTCTGTCTGTCTGTCAGGAGGTGGTGTATGTCAGTGCCAAGCTCCGCCTGTTGGAGCACCGTCAGCAGAGAATTAGTGAAGTCAGAGCCAAGTACCAGTGTCTGAAGAAGGAGCTGGAACAAACCAAACAGTACCTGATGCTGGAGCCACACAAATGGACCACCGAGTGTAAGTGGGAGTCTGACACATTAGGGAGTGTGTGTGTGTGTGTGTGTGTGTGTGTGTGCGTGTTGTGTGTGTCGTGTGTGTTGTGTTGTGTTGACAGAGACAGGGTTGACTGTAATGGTGTGGGATATATATTCTGGTGTGGTGTTAATTGTGTGTATGGGTGTGTGCATGTGTGACAGAGACAGGCTGACTGTGTTGGTGTTGGAATATATATGTGTGTGTGTGTGTGTGTGTGTGTGTGTGTGTGGTATTAGGTATTCTACATTGGGGTTCTCAACAGGTTAGAAAATTTGATTATTTTTTTTTATTTACCAGATGATTGATTGAAAAACACAAACAATATCAAGTTATTAAGCATATTTGCCTGTAATGTGTGTAATGGCGATTTCATCCATTTTTTGTTTGTATAAAAAGATACCTGTTCTTTATTTCATAGCCTGAAAGGAAGGTTTTAAAAGAAAAAGGTTGATGTTATTCTATATTTCATCTTAATGTCAGCAAATCTAATGGAAGTGAAACGACCAAAACCAACAAAGCATTAGTGTGCCTCAATACTTTCCGACTTCCCTACCTTGTTTGTGAACTGTAGCCTCATTGGTTCTTTCTTAGCACTCGTCTTTGAAAATGAGTATAAATATATATTTTCATTTTTAAGGCAGGCTCAGTACATTTCTAGAACAGTTGGGCACTTAAGTTTTAGCAAACATTTCCCAAGTAGAGCTAAATAGCACATTTGTTTGTTAGGGATTATTTCCAGCTGCAGACTTACCCACAGTTAATCACTGGTTTTGATCTTTCATTAGAATTTGTTGGCAATAAGAAAAAAAACAAAATATCACCAGACTTATTCATTAAAATGATTTATACAGTCATAAACAAAGTACATGTAACAGTGTTTTAGCAAGGTGTGTCATACCTTTTTTTCTGCCTGTCGGTCCATATCCAGTTGAGCTACAGCAGGCCTACGAAGTGGACTCTCTGGAGTATTTGGAAGCTCTGGAGACTGTGACAGACAAACTGGAGACCAGAGTCAACTTCTGCAAAGCCCACCTCATGATGATCACCTGCTTCGATGTGTCCTCAAGACACCGGTAGACAGATGGAGGGACGGAGGGCTGGAGGACGGAGAGGCAGACACACAGCTGGACACAATTAGATGTCAACATTTTGACTTTTTGCCCCCTGATTAATCAAAGACCTTTAGAAAGTATCTCCTAAACTAATACATCTCATTGGATGGATGGATAGTTGGGAGACAGGGATGGACTGACTTGATCCTGCATGTCATCCTCATGTCTCCTCCAAATGTAAGTAGGCAGAAGGACAGATGGATGCAGAGATGAAGGGATAAAAGGAATGGAGATATATACAGATATCTAACAAGCCGAGTCCGTATGATGAGTCCGTAGTTGTTGTTTTTTCTTGGGGGCTTGGACACAAACTCAGAAGGAGACATAAATCCGCATCTAATGGATGGGCTTTGAATCAGATAAATATGGCTGCCTAAAGGGGCAGACAGACGGTTCTAAGTCTGAAAAGAAACATCAAACATACCACACAGTTTCCAGAGAAGTGAATAATTGGACTGCTGAGACACCTCTGAGACTGAGTCGAACATTTAGGAATGTATGCAGAAGAAAGGAGTGGAGAGAGAGGAACACAAACTGCCATTTTTTAAACAAAAAGGATAAAGAAAAAGTGTAGGAGAGGAGAAGAACGATTTCCCATCTCCCATCGTTTTAGGAGAGCACTTTTTAGAGTTTACGAAGTCGAGAGCTGTTGGCAGAGTGCTCACTACAGAATGGCTTGGTATTGTTGTTCAGTTAATAAAAGAGACTAACCAAGAGAAAGACAGGAGGACAAAGATAAATGATTTAGATAAGTGCCTTGTGAACATTTCAACAATACCAAGACCGATTCTCTTTCTCTCTGAATTTGTGTACTTGCAGTAAGTATGGTGCTAGCATAGAAATGAAAAAAAAAAAAACACAAAAGATCAGTGTCCTTGGAAAATCTTTGAATTTATAGCCATTTCTAAATGTGATGTTTTACTGTGGGTCAATGTTTCACTATATCATAAACACCTAATACTGTATGTTTGAATGGTCTTTGGTACAGTGAGGAGAGAAGAGATTTTTAACTGGATCCCTAACTAAAAATGTTAAAGAAGACCTACGGAACATGGAGACTAACACCAAGTTCCTCTTAAAAAAACAAACGATTGCAAGGACCAAAAGTCGAATTTGAAAAACACACCTGATTTTTCCAGGACACAGAGTTATGTGTGTTTAAAACAAAGAAAAAAGCACTAACTCTAGTTTTTTGTGGTGGTTGTTTTTACCTTGACTTCACTCACATACAGAGCACATCTGAATTTTGACCCTCTGAGGCATACGTACATTTCCCCTGATACAGATGTGATGGCTTTTTCATGTTCACAAAGCAATGAAACGTCTGAGTCGCACAAGAGTGGAAAATTTTTCTCTGATCCAGTGTGAAGTACATCCATCGATTGACTTGACTGACTGTCATACTGACTGACAGTTATTCTGTCTGTTATTTGTATCTGTGTTGTTCTGCTCTATTCTAAAAGAAACTGAATGATTTGTCAATGTGTGTGTTTTATAATAAGGTATCCTTTTTTATTTGAATGCAATGGGACCACGCAGAGACTATGTATGATAGTAGGATCATGGAAATAGATTAAAGAGATATTTAAGAGTAAACTGTAAGGAGGACACAGGTACAAGATAAGCTCATTGATATACAGTGTTAAAGGCCTGTATGATTGGCACAAAGTAGTGAATTTAGACTGGAAATACTTATTTGGGACTTCAATTATGGTTACAAATGGGCTACTTACAGTAAATTGTTCCAGTATGGTCTTTTACTGAAAGGACACAGACGTTATAAAGGAACAACTAAAATATATATATTTAAAGGAATGAAAGAGAACTAAAGAAAGAAAAGGATGATGACCAAATTAAGGGGAAAAGATCTCTTCCTGGTTCCATTTTTTTTGGATGGATAGCAACACTTATGATTTGTTAATATTATTATCTATGGTGCTTGAGATGTTTATGATCTAAATGTTTGTACAAATATAAATATATGAAAAAGCCTGTTTCCCTCTGACATTCAGAACAATACCCTTCGAATGCTTCTTCTATATTGCCGTCATCACGTCTGTCACCACCCTCTCCCCTGAATGCCTTTTCCGCAGCAAGCAGAGAGCATTCTGGGAGATCCTGTTAGTTGTCCTAGAGGTAAAATGAGGAACAGACACCAACTGTAATGATATTGGTGTGATTTGTCAAAAGCATCGTAGTGCTAAATTTATCTTTATCCTAACAGAGCAAACTCAGTTCTTATCTTTTCCACTGGAGTGACAGCAGGAAATAAGCAGGAAATAACTTTAAATGTTTTAAACGTCTCCTGGCTGACTGTAAAGAGGTGACAGTCATTCATTGTGTGTGGCGTACACCTGCAGTGTCAGCCACGGGAAATTACCCCTGAAACTAAGATGCTTTTGACAGACTGGACCAATGAAGCATTTTCATAGGAGGCAGACAAAGTAGCCGTGTGACATCGCTGATCGTTTAAGTTCACCGTGCCAGTCATGAATGAAGGTTTATTTATTTGAGCTCAGGAGAGCAGAGTCGCTTATTTTTATGTTCTTATTTATTTACACCTTCTGATCTTAAAAGTTACTATGCATTTAAGAAAAAGAAAAAAATAACTGTACATATTTTGCTGAGCCCATGTCATATATAAATATATATACTGTACACATATCATATATACGCTCATTTTTATTTTATATATTTTCTGTTTCTATTTCATTTGCTCCTGTTGTTCGTGTTAGAGATTGTAATGGGTTTGGGTTTCCTAAAACATTCACATCCAGGGTGGTTGATGTGGTTCAAGGAATTTCAGTCAATTGAATACAGACCAGACTCTTTTTTTTTTTTTTTACATGTGATGAGGAAAACAGTTGAGTATGGAGACAACAGTGTTGTTCAGTAAAATACCAGTATATTCGACAGTATTAAAACACAACCATGTGTAATTAGCAGTGGATGTTTTGGGAACCCCAACCTCCGAATGAGCTAAATGGCCTGTACTTGTTTCCAGATTTCAGATGCTATGTGTGTCACTGCCAAATCTACTGTGGTAGCGCTTTATAATTCTAGCAATAATTGTGACAAACACTCAAGGTTTTGGTGGCCCCATATTGTTTAAAATAGTACATGTAAACTTTTCAGGAATTAGCAAGCATGCTCAAAGGGATGCACTCACTCACGTCTGGTGCTTTAAATAAAATTACTCACCGTTGTATCAGGTAGGAGGGCAAAAAAAACACAGTCTAATGAACAAATTGACGTATGTGCTGTTACGTGTTTTTAGAATTATAATGTGTTACCTGGAAATCTGACACGTAGCATCTTTAAGTTCTTAAGGAGTATTGTGTGCTAAAGTTGGTCAGACCACATTTTCCAAAAGCAGATTATATCAGTTGTAGTAAGACAACTTCTGATCAGTTGTAAGACAGTGGTTGCAAAATCTCTACATTACTGATTAAAACCAGTTTGAATGTGTCAGAGTGCCAATCTGTTAAGTAAAAGAATTAGTTAACCAGGGTTACGACAAGTCATCAGTGCAAACCAGAGAAGTGTGAGAGTTTCACTGTGTGTGTGTCGTCTCCATGATTCAAGACTGCAATCACGACGTCCTCTGCAGATTTACTGTTTTGGAGAAATGTGGTCCGACACATGGTGTTGATGGAAGAGCAAGATGGAGGGATGTAAATAAAGAAATGTATTGAAAGAGTTTCACATCTGATTTTTCATTTTTTGAATGCAAAATAGTCAACAAAGCACCAGCCAGACAGCCGGTATACAGTCTGTGCTAATCCCAATGAAATGCCTACATTTTGCATCATGGCTCAAACTCAAAAGATTTACCGAAAATATAGCTGCAGGCAGCTGCATGAGGTTTTATTTCACATTTTAATAACTACTGCCAATAAGATGAACATAAGTAAATGTTAAGTTATGTCTTCTATTATGTTTTTTCCACATCTCCTGTGTGCTTGCACAGCGGACACATGGCTACAACATGATAAAGTACTTTTGGTTTTATTGTACAAGATATAATGCACACTCGTTATTCTACTGTCACTGCAAAGCCTCAATGGTTCATTTGTTTCTTTTGTTTTTTTTTAAATTTGTGATGAGTCAGTTATTTCTGCCAGGTATGGCCGAAAATAAGGAAGCCTGTCATTCCTGTCTCTTGTCCTGTGTTTCTAAAAGAGAAATACAGTAGAGGATTCTGAAAATAATCAGATGAGGAAACAGTAAAGGCAGTCAGTCTGTATAGTGCAAAAAACACATTAACATATACCATGTCATTTTACATATAACGACAGGCATATCTGGCGCCTGCTTTGTAGTAGATATCACTTAGCTTCCAATCTTAGCTTCCAACGTGTGTGTGTGTGTGTGTGTGTGTGTGTGTGTGCCTTTAATAGCCTGTAGGCAGCTTTCTAGGTGACATATTGCCCTGTTGAGCCTGCTTTGATCACCCGTGCACAGCGGGGAACAGGAAGGAATGAGAGAAATAGGGAGAGAATAGATGAGAGAGGAGAGGAGAACAAAGGTAGCAGAAGGGAAATGCAAGGTAAGAGAGATTATGTGGAGCTGAACTGGTGCAAGAGAAATAAGATGGGTGAGGTTAGTTAGGACAAAACAGGGAGACAAATTATTCAGGTAATAAAAAACATAATTTGGAAAATGATTATCTTCTGGCTAATGACAAATAATATGCAATCATCTCACCAAATAGTCTCTCTTTTCTGAACTCACCTCTCCAATGAAATTATTAGGTTAAGAGAAAGAGTTTAATTCCCTGTCCAGATATCAAAACTAATTTCCATGTTAAAGTCCAACATTCTTTGTTGTTCCTGAGATTGGTAGCCAATTTGTTAATTGCTTGGTCCACTAAGCCTTTGTCTTAAATCTTCTTGTAAGTTTCCCTCTCTAACTGCCTAACATAGCCATTTGTAATCAGGTGCCTTAGACCCCTTTAATATGTGCTGGTAAAGGTCTGTGTTTATCCCACTGATTACCTCTTCAATGTTACGTTCAATGTTACGTTCACTTCTCTTCTATTTCCCCCGTTCCTTTTGACATATATTTCAAGCAGCTTAATTTTGCAGCAGAAAACAAAAACAAAAAGCAACAATGTGGTTTTCAACCAGCTCACATGTTCAATGTATTTCCATCCTAAGATACAGCTAAGTTACAACAACTAAGCA